CAGTAATAAATGCCACTCGTAGGCCGGTATATCCTAGCTTGATTCCAAAAAACACTGTGATAGTTCACCCAAGTAGTTGAGAACACAAAGTTGATCTGAGTACTTCGAGAAAAATCACACAATGCACGAGCTGAACACTTCTTATGACCTCTAGCTTCGACAACCAAAAGTCAATTGCTATCTCTGAATTTCAACTCATCTTATAGTTATGGTTTCATATAGTTAATTAGCGTCTTGATGTTACGGTTTCATGTAGTCAATTATCCTCTAATCTCTTCCTTTTGTATTATTAGTAGTCAATTATCCTCTAATCTCTTCCTTTTGTATTATTAGTGTTATTCTTTCATCATGTTAATTCATATAACTTCTTTGATCTTGATAATGCGTTGTTGATAGTATTGATTATTCTGTTAAATGGTTTCCACTTGTTACCTATATATTGTACCACATTTATTGTTGATGATCATTATTTGCTTGAAAACGATATCTGTATGTGTATCGAAACGTAGCATGTTAATAAATTCAGAAGTAGTATATCCATATAAGTGTATTTTATTTTTAGTGAAATCTATTTCTATATGTCTTATAAGGATTGTGTATCAATCTATTTAAAATACAGAGCTATATTTCGTTTCGTTTTTTTTATACGTTCGAAGGCCTCTACTACATGAAGATCTGGCCAGTTATTGTAGTGGCAGGTCACGGCACGGGCATTATGAGCGGCTTTTGACCCTATGCTGTCAGGCATTTGATTAACCAATCCACGTTTATGTTTCAAGTAGGATACCCACAGTTCTGTGCATCACGCACCAAGAACTCACCGCAACAGTCCGTTTCATTGACTAATCCCTCAGAACGCGGGTTATATAACAACTTTTCCAGATCCTAGTGCACGCCAATGTGTACACGGGACCTCGGTTTTTCGTCCCATCTGAACGACTAGACAGCTTTCCCGCATCAATGACAAGGGAGAACCACGCCGGAAAATCTGGATGAACTTTCTCGGCCAATGCAGGGATCGAACACCCGACCTCCAGGCTAGCGAGCCAGCGTCTTACCCACTTAGCCACCGTGATCCCCGACATAATGGGTCGCAACGCATATAATAATGTAATCTGAATGTATATAAACTGATTTACATTCAATCATTTCTGTTTTCACTGTAATTTCTAATCATTTATGTTCGGCGAAATACGCCAGAAGTCTCAATTGAATGGCAATCTCTAGCGCCTGGTTATTCCAGTCTACACCGATAGTATTTATTGCACATGCTCTCCAGATAAGAATATGATGTCACCGTTTGATTTGACTTGTGGATTATGCCTAGCCTCGTTTTTCAAGTCCGATGATGCTGAAACGCATTATGATACACGAATCGTGTACCAGTGGTAAAATGTTTATTTTGTCTTTAATATTGGATATCAGAAGCCCATCTCTTCCCGGCAAGATCACAACATCAATGTTGATTTAAATTGATAAATAATTTGTGTTTTCAATGTTGAAGATTTTGGATGATATTGAGTTAGAGACTTAGCTACTTTAATATGCATGAACCTACAAGTGGCATCTTGTAAAGCTAGTTACAAACCTGCTAATTAATATGCATGAACCTACTTATTTCTAACCACTACACAGACACAACAGAAAAGTAGGACGTTAAACCCAATCTCTGATTAGAAAAATGATCATAATAATAGGCCTAAGTTCATAAATCCATAGTACAAGCCTGGAATAGGCCTATGTATGACAACGATCACCAAGAGTCATTGTAAGCGCCACGGAGAAACAATACCAGAATAATATATCCCACACATAAAACACAATAGGGATGATAATTAATAATTAATAAGTTGATGGTGCTTATATCAGGATTATAACGAATTATTGTTATTGGAAACACTTTTAAAGGGAAAAATTAGCTTAATAAAAATGAATTGGGATTTATAACGTCTTTATAACACAGACACAGGTGAATTTAGACATTACGCTGTTTGAGACAGGGGACATTTTGGGTTAAAGATTTAGATAAAGAGCTGACCGTTCGTGCTATAATAGTTCAAAAATAGATAATTCAAAATTAATATATTGCAAGTTTCAGTCGAATTACTATCTTCTAGGCGAAGTTATTAGTACCTGAAGTATTGCCATTATAGTCTCGATTCTCATGTACCATTGCTACGATAATAACAGAGAGAGCGAGAGAGAGAGAGAGAGAGAGAGAGAGAGGGAGGGTTAAACGTCCACTCGACACAAACTATTTCATTTCGGGACTAACATATGGTTAAATTTTATTTCAATAATTCGCTTGCGCGCAGTGGGAGGAAACCAGCGGATCCGGAAAACCCCTACGAGGTTGAACAGGCGACCCTATTCCTTGTCACGTACAACCGGGGAATCGAAACCACGCCCGTTGACTCAATGACAGACCGTATGATGCAACTCGCACGCGCTAACCATTCGGCAATCCAGCCCCCCGCTACGATAATAAACATAGACACAATTAGCCGTTTTAACGTTAAATTATTAAATGGCGCCTGTGTTATAATCCATTCAATATTATGGCCACCCGATATTCTAGAGAATCGAATGCCCAATTATAGATACATTATGGGAGATTAGATAAAGAGCTGGCCTTTCTCACTATAGTAGTTGAAAACTAAAAATTGATTCATTCTGAACCGAGATTTTAGCCATTGAATTTTGGGCCTAGCCTCGATCATAATTACTAAAGCCGGCACGATAAAAAAAACATAGTCTCGATTATCCATTTTTTTGATTATATTATCAACGAGCGTTAAGCAGCAGATATGATTCTAATCCAGTAAATATCGCAGGCTAGCGATGACATCGAGAGCTGATTATAATCTGGATAAGTTAATTAATGTCTAATTGATAATTTAGATAACATTTCAGGCCTAAAATTAAGATAACATTTCAGATTTAGCGCTTGCATAATGTATGTTTAATAAATCATAAAACGTTTAAAAAGTTTAAAATTGGATATGCAATAGGCTGATAAAGAAAAGATAACTACTTGTGTTAGACACCCCAACTCCCTCACACGAGAGGAGAGGACAACGTTCAGTAGTTCGGACGATAAGCCGAGATCTCCTGTACACGTTGGCGAGCTCGTTAAAAATAAAGTGTCCGTCACAACATGTATAAGCGGGGAATCGAAACCACCACACATAACTCAAGGAAAGACGCGCAAACCAATAACCGGCTTATAGGCAAGTCTCGATCGTCATTACTAAAAAACAAAGTCTCGATTTTGCAAAAAAAAATGTATTCCAATTCACTAAATATCGCAGACTAGAGTTGATTATGGCCCGGACGAGTTAATTAATGTCTAATTAATAGTTTAGATAACATTTCAGGCCTAAAGAAAGACCTGCAATAGACAGTTTTAGCGCTTGCATAATGTATGTTAAACTAAACATGATCTGTGATTTCATCAGATTGGACTAACACGGAAATTATGGTTTTATTTTCAGCTTATTGTCTCTTCAGTTGACCACATTGCTTTGAATAATAAAAAGAGAACATTGACGATGTGGACTTAATGATTGCTTGACACGGGTTGGCTAGTATATTGTTTTGTCGTTGTTAACAAAGTAGTTGGAATAGGATATATAAATCTAACGACAGATGCATACCCAAAGACACGCGGATTACCGGAGGTTGTTTCAGAAATTGTGGTCAGTCTAAACATTTCACTTAAAGTTGGTGTAAGGTGAGTGGCCGAAATTCAAAGTGTTTTAAAATATTTTTCCGTTCAAAGCACCAACAAATTCCAGAATTTTAAATGCCTGAGTTTCAGAGTATTCGAAAATGTGCTTTTTACGTCTCAGAAACCTAAACATTTAACTTTATATTCGTGTAAGGTTGATTCAAAATGTTAAACATTTTCCTGTCCAATGTACTTCGCATTTCAGAAATGTATATGAATGTTTTGTATATTGTGTTTTGTACATTGCAGAAACCTGAACATTTAACTTAGTGTGTATGCAAGGTGGGTTGCCGGACTTCTAAGTGATATATTGTTCATCGTTCAAAGTACCTTAAATGCAGAGTCTTGGAAATTTTCTCAGAAACATAATCATTTAAGTTAATCCACGTGTATGGTACTAGATGACATTTTGCCGGAATTTTCAGTGTGAAATATACTCCTGAACAAAGTCTTTCAAATTCAAGAATTTTATATTTCAGAAACCCTTAAAGTTGATCTACGTGTAGGATACTTGAAGATATTTTGCCGGAATTCCAGGGATTCTTGAATGGCCCGTTAGACGTACTCCATGTTCTGCATTTGTACATGACTGTATTCAGAGAATTGGAAATTGTGACTTTTTACATCCATCTCAGAAACCTAAACTTTTAAATTAATCCATGTGTAGGATAGTTAACTGGAATTCCAAGCGTTATTAAATTGCCTGATCGAAGTACACTACTTTTTAGAATTTCATTTGACGTCGTAAGGCGTCTTAAGAGTCTTCTGAACAAGCAGTGGGTAGATTAAACAAAGAAAAGCATCTCACCAAGTTGGAAAATCATTCACAAACTTTCCAGATATGACGACGCTGGTCTTTGTGCTAACACTAGTATTCACTGTCATGCCATTATGGACTCTGGAACCACCGCCCAAACCCAATCAGCCGATACACCCTCCGTCTCTACCTCCAGCCAATCAGCCCATAAACCCCCTACCTATTTCCAATCAGACAGCGACTTACGAAACCACCCGAAAACTGGAGAATGATCTTCTGGCGAACTACAGTGATACGATCCGCCCGATAATCTACCAGACAAACTCAATGGCGGTATTTCTTGATTTTCGAGTCAACGGCATTTTGGAGATAGATGAAGTCAAGGAAACTATCTTGGTTAATGTAGACTTTGCAGTGAAATGGCAAGATGAACTTTTGACTTGGAATCCCGACGATTACGGTGGACTGAAGCTGATGCACCCAACTGCTGACAAGAGATGGAAGCCCAGATTAATGATCCTAAACTCTGTTGACAAACGTGATGTGTTTTCGGATGAACTACATCCGTATATCGTCCAATGGGACGGAACAGTGTTCTGGACACCTACGGCAGTTTTTAGAACCTACTGCAATTTGGATATGACCAAGTTCCCTTTTGATGTCCAAAGGTGCACAATATTCGTGCAACCGGTTGAGTTCATTTTCGATGAACTTCAGCTATTCGTCGTTGATCCTATCAAGCTAGAGTATGCCCAGGAGAATGGCGAGTGGATAATTGCTGGGGCATATGGGACACATTTCCCAAAACCCATTCACCCACGAACCATGTCAAGGGTGGGTGTCACACTGATACTCGCTCGTCGACCAGCGTTCATCGTGCTCAACGTCTGTCTTCCCATAGCAGTCTTATCTTTGTTAAATGTAGCGGTCTTCCGAGTGCCCATTGATTCTGGCGAGAAGCTCAGCTACGTATTAACAGTGCTGCTAGCTCTTGCAGTATTCATGTCGATTGTCGGCGGTATGTTACCAACGACCTCGACCACCATCCCACTTCTAACCATCTACCTGTCATCGCTTCTAGGCTTCAGCACGTGTTCGGCGCTTCTAACCGTTTACATCATGAGCGTGGCCCACCGACCAGAATCGCGACCGGTACCAAAACCTCTAAAGCTTCTGGTTGTGTGTATGAACGGCAGGAAACCAAGGGACAGAATTCAACCACTAAACGAGGACGCAAAGATAAATTGGAAAGTAGTTAGTGAAGCGCTGGATAAGCTATGTCTATATCTGTCAACCTCGTTGGTGCTTGCTACTTCTCTTGGCGTTGCTATCACCATCACCAACGCACGTAACTAAGATACGAAAAATTAAATGGTAGTTAGCTTTTCGTTTCTCTGCATTAGGGTGGATCTGTCGTTCAGATTGCATCACCAACTGAGGCTATGCGTGTTCACTGTTCAGTGTCTATATTTGTCTAATGGTCTTTGCTACTTCTTTTAGCATTACTATCATCGTCACTATAAATGATGAAGGTGATGAAATGGGGTTTAACGTCCTACTGTTCTGCTCCTATACTGGGCTAATGAAGACGAACATACGCCATACAGTGTGCTATGAGGGAACTTTTGCCCGGGCAGCGGCACTATCGCCTACTCTTATATCGAATTCCAACTGCCAAGGGATCTTTTACGTGCATTCCAATGTATACACGGGACCTCGGTTTTTCGTCTCATCCGAAGGACTAGACAGCTATCCTTGCCAGGCCCTCCATCCTGCATCACTGACAAGGGGGAAACACGCTGGAAAATCTGGATGAACATCCTCGCGTCACTATAAAGGGCGACACGTATTCAAAATATGCTCTATATAAACACCTATATTTTATGGAACACTATTTAAAGATACCTTATGGGAGATTCGATAACGAGTTGGCAGTTCTCACTATAATAGTAATGTAAAGGCAATTTGCTGAAAATTTCATTCAAATTGATCCACTATGAACCGAGAACTAAGCGATTCAAATTTCCGCCAAGCCTCGATCATCATTACTAAAGTCAGTACGATAAACAGCATAGTCTCGACTATCCATTTAATCGTTAAATCGTGAAGGAAAATTATGCAGTACATCGGCTCATAATCCACTAAGGACCACAGGCTAGCAATGCCATCTAGAGTTGATTATGGTCTGGATAGGTTAATTAATGTCTAATTAATAATTTAGAAAACATTTCAGGCCTAAAGAAAGACCTGCAATAGACAGATTTAACTCTTGCATAATGTATGTTTAATAGTGATGTATTCTTCTATATAAAAACGTATATGGAACAACTCGGTGTTTCGAGTTTTAATATTAAACGAACACAACGTGAAGTCCATATTGAAGTTCACGTTCGCGTCCAACGTGGCGTCACTGAAATTAAGAGTTGTGACAGATGACTTTTTGTGCAAGGAAATTCGAAAAGATGAGAAGTCGCGGGCGAGGTCGCGATGGCGCGAGAACACCGGAAAGCGGCACGAGATATCGAGAATCTCGAGCAGACTTCTCGAATTCTCTCGTTTGAAGATCCCCCACTTTGCACCTTGTTGCTTCGCGTTCTGGCATTCTAAATTTCTCTCCCCTCGACGTCTCGCCAGAAGCACAAACAGTACATGTACATGCAATCGATTGAGTTCACAATACGTGGAACTGGAGCTTTTCCTCATTAGTCCCATCATCAATCCTATCAAGATAGCAAAATGAAATGAAATGGGGGTTTAACGTCCTACTATTCTGCTCTGAACTGGTCTAATGAAGACGGGCATATGCCATACAGTGTGCTACACTTATATCGAATTTCAACTGTCAAGGGATCTTTTACGTACACGCCAATGTGTACACGGGACCTTGGTTTTTCGTCTCATCCGATCGGCTAGACAGCCGCCTTGTCAGGCCCTCCGACCTACATCACTGACAAGGGGGAACCACGCCGGAAAATCTGGATGAACTTTCTCGGCCAATGCAGGGATCGAACACCCGACCTCCAGGCTAGCGAGCCAGCGTCTTTCCCACTTAGCCACCGTGATCCCCTCAAGCTAGCGGCGAATAGTTAAAAGATTGTTCAATAGATCATGCATACTGTGGTTTAAATGGAATGAAATGGGGTTTAACGTCCTACTTGTCTGCTCCGAATGGGCTAATGAAGACGGGCATACGCCATACAGTGTGCTATGAGGGACATTTTGCCTGGGCAACGGCACTATGGCCTACTTTTATCCCGAATTCCAACTGCCAAGGGATCTTCGTGCACGCGTATGTGTACACGGGACATCGTTTTTTTCGTGGCCCCGGGCAACCAATTAGAGTGGCATATCCTATTCAGAACTTTTCAGAATTAATACACAATAATTGATATTTACGATATTGCTATTTATTTGTATTATTATTGCGTGTATTTATATAGCGTTCAACATGGTCGGATACACTATACAATAAAATATAATATATATATATATATATATATATATATATATATATATATATAGAGAGAGAGAGAGAGAGAGAGAGAGAGAGAGAGAGAGAGATGGGGTTTAACGTCCACTCGACACAAACTGGGTCATTTCGGGACTAACATATGATTCAATTTTATTTCAATAATTCACTTGGGGGTAGGGGTCTTTAGCAGTTGGGGGAAACCGGAGGACCCGGAGAAAACCCACGAGGTTGGACAGGGACCCTACTTCTTGTCACGCACAACCGGGAATCAAAACCCCGCCAGTTGACTCAATGACAGACTCTATGATACAGCGCACACGTGCTAGCCATTAAGCCATCCAACCCCCCTCTAAAATGTGTATTCATCTTTAAAATGCACATATAACTTTAAAATGGACTTGCGTTTCCTTTAAAATGTGTATACAACTTTAACATGTGCATTCAAATTTAATTTTTCTCCACATTTTTAAAATGTGTTTCCAAGTATAAAATATGCATACATCTTTAAAATACAAATGGATATGGCTTTTCACACAAAAAATAAAATAGCATTGAACATGGCGCGTCATTTAAGTTTATAGTAGCTCTTAGTTGAAGACAATCTTCAACGCCTCCAGTATTATCTGGTTGTCCTGGAGGCCAACCAGTAACACTTGATCCATCTGACCACACCCATGTACCTTCTGTAACTCGGTCATCTCCTCCGATCCAAATTTTATCATGTGCTAAAATGTAATACAAATAAGCATGATTAAGGTCCAGTCGGGTTAAGACTAGTAATTATGTAGTGCCAGTTATAAATAGACAATTTTCCCCTTAATTTTGTTCGCTCCTCTTCCTGCATTTTTTGGTTGACTTTTTGGTCGAGAGTTGGAGAAAACCAATCAAATTTGCAATTTTATAGCAGTTTTGGGTAATACTGATGATATTACAGCGGAGGAATAGGGGGTGTAAAGTGTCTTTCTGCAGAGCAATCATTGTATCGGAAGTGAGATTTTCACCCCAGTCAACATCAAATCCCCGTAGCAACAAATCTAAACAGTCAACCCTCTGCAAAATTATGATGAGGAGATTGCCAAATGTGGTCCCCATCGTGCCTATAAATATTGGAACCAACGGAATGTTGAGCAAAAAGCCACAGCCTGTGATGTTACAGCCATTTAACATTGAAGTCAATGGGCAAGTCATTGTCCCAAAAGCCCACATTATAAAACTCAAATTTAAATCAAGCTAATTAAAGGTCCCCGACCTCCCCCAAACTTTCACCTTTCATTCGACTGTGACAATTATGCTAAGGTAAAAATGTATTTCATATATATATTTAAATAAATCTTCACTCACGTGATGGAGGGGGGGGGGGGCGTTGCGAATCGTTAGCGCGTGGTCCATCTGAATGACTAAACTCTGACACAGGGAAAACACAATAAAAAAATCCAGAGGTACTATCCTGGCCAACACTGGGCGCGAACGAGAAGCCTCCAGGTTTGTGACCTAAGACCTGTTAAATATTGTGAAAGTTCTTACTCGTCATGGCGGTTACAGCCTTCAATTTAAGACTAAATACCATATTTGGAATGATAAGAAGACGACCATCTTCCTGTTCGCAATCCATCTTGGATTCTGACCATGTTCGTTGATAATTTGACATATTCACACAAAATATTCCGCCTAAAAGAGGCGTATATCCCTTTGATACACAGATCTCTGAAAACAAAAACAAACTGATGACTTTCCAATACCAAGCAAAGAGACACGTAAAACACAGAAACTACAACTTTAAAATCAAACGAACACAAGACCAAAACATCCAGACTGCAAAATAAGAGACAGGAAAAGTTCTGTCATTGAGTCAACTAGCGTGGTTTCGATTTCCAGCATGTGTCTGACAAGGGGTAGAGCCGCCTGTCCAACCACGTGGGGCATCTCCCTACTGCCAAAGACACGGGCAAGCGAGTTACTCAAACGCAATTATTCAACCATATGTTAGTCCCGAAATGACCTAATTGTTTCGAGTGGACGTTAAATTGCACGTCTCTCTTTCTTTCACAGCGGTATAATTTCTGTAGAATTATGTTGGCGTGCAGTATAGGTCTACGTGTGACGTCATATCATACGGCGTCGATAACCTGTGTGTTGTTTACGTCGCAGCTAGTAAAACAAAGTGGCCCAGGCAGAATTGGTGTCGTTTACTCATTTTGTGTCTTGGCGTACAATTTTATGTACTAGTATCTATTTACACTAAATAGTTTTTGTTTTTTTTTAATCCAGATTCACTTCCAAAATGGTTTTAGAATTTAATTTGCTGAAGAAAAAGGGTTAATATTGAGAGCTAATTAACTCGCCCGGATGAAATCCCTCTCAGTGGTTCATTCCCATATCGCCGACTCGCCGAGTTTTTGGGGAAAAATTTTGGTCGGTGTTAAGGGGTTGAGTGGCCAAGATATTGGTGACAAAGCGAATATTTACTACTATCAGTTTGTCAAATTAGGCCTACAAGTAACTTTAAAGTAATGACGCTATATATAAAATATTTTTCACGCTAATATGTACCCAGATTTATTATGTTAAAACATTTAATTAAGAACACAAAATCAAAATACCAAAGCTAGATAACGGCACCGATTCAATTTAAAACAGGCCTACCAATTCTGTTCGCCCACAACAAAATGGCGGCGGGCTCATTAATAGCCAACAACGTAGTTCGATGAATTTTTAATTCAACTTATCCATGTACTTCTGGAACGGAATTAAACTATTTGTGGACTGATATTGTTATTAGAGATACAACTTTTATAATATTGTAGTTTACATGGGATTCCTATTGTGCTATAACGAACCAATGAGACTTGAATGAAATGAAATGGGTTTGACGCCCTACTGTTCTGCTCCGAACTGGGCTGTAATGAAGACGGACATACGCCATATAGTGTGCTCTAGGGGAATTTTGCCCGGGCAGAGACACTACGGCCTACTCTTATATCGAATTCCAACTGTCAAGGGATCTTTACGTCCACGCCAATGTGTACACGGGACCTCGGTTTTTCGTTCCATCCGAACGACTAGATAGCTGTCCTTATCAGGCCCTCCGGCATCACTGACAAGGGGGAAACACGTCGGAAAATCTTGATGAAGTTTCTCATCCAATGCAGAGATCGAACACCCGACCTCCAGGCTAGCGAGCCAGCGTCTTACCCACTTAGCCACCGTGACCCCGAGACTTTAAGGTGTGTATCCATGCAAATTAAAGGCCGATATGACGGAACTTGTATTTTTACCTTTCAGTTGTTCTTCAACATGGATACTGTTTAAATTCACAGATCCTATCCCAGTTGTGACCATATTGAGAATATAGCACGAGTTGGAACTAAAATGGAATAATTTACATCCTGTGAGTCTCACGCATGTCATGCCGCATTGTGACAGAGTTGTCTCGCTTACTAAAATAGAATAATACAACGTGATTGGATTATCCAGATTCAGTTTACTGTAAAATGTGTCCTTCGTTAGAGAGGCGGACACGCACGAAAACAGCACCACCAGAAAAACTACATATCCTCTGGACACCATCATAGATATAAATTATTCTTAAACACTTTCAAATTTGTAGCCATACACAATGGGTCTAATTTCCTTCAAACAAACAGAATAGTTAAGTTATCTGGTGAAATAATCAAAACACTGTTTCTGAATTGTCTTGGACTGGTTTCAGTTGAGAAATAAAACCCCCTCCTTCTACTTCTCGCTTGTTTTAAAGTGGTTTCACGGTAAAATTTAAACAAAAAACCCCAAAATACAAAAAAATAAAAAAGCGCTAGACTACACTTGTCAAATGAGAGTCTGTTTCAGACTAGTAGGACGTTAAACTCCATTTCATTTCTGTTTCAGACTAGTAGGACGTTAAACTCCATTTCATTTCTGTTTCAGACTAGTAGGACGTTAAACTCCATTTCATTTCTGTTTCAGACTAGTAGGACGTTAAACTCCATTTCATTTCTGTTTCAGACTGGTTTGTTACTCTGGTGAAATGGCAACCGGCTTCAAGAACATTAATGGAGACCTAATACAAGCACCTTTAGCCGCTGCTCAATTAATTATGAAATAAATCGAATTATTAATATATCAATGTAGGACTGATGGAATTGAAAGCGGTAGCCGCATAATACTGTGTTCATTTTTTTCAATAATTTCAATTTAATAGCCATTTATCTTTCGTAGCTTTGTGCTTCAAGTGATACTACAGGCCAATTGTTCGCCATCTTTAATAGTCCTTGATATGGACAGATCGAAGACGAACTACTTTTTGAGTATATTATATACTTGTCTGAAAGTAACGACCTGTTTCTAAAGTAGTTCTGTGATCAATTGATATCCTTTGTTCTACTGTAAGAAAAAGGTGATCTTTTATGTTAACTCTTCACACTCGCGTGCTTTCATAAATTGATATATTTAATAATTCGATTTAATTGCGCAAATAAAACGTGTTTCACCCAAGTAACCAGTTTAACCCAAGTCGTGGACTGATGTTTATTTCACCCGTGAAACCAGTTTAACGCAAGTCGTGGGCCGGTAAAGTAAAACAGTTAATACAGTAAATAAAATGAAATGAAATGAAATGGGGTTTAACGTCCTACTGTTCTGCTCCTATACTGGGCTAATGAAGATGGGCATATGCCATACAGTGTGCTATGAGGAAAATTTTACGCAGACTGATCAAGGAAGTAAAACATTGAATAGGCCTACAGTAAATAAAGGTAAATATGAAATAGATATGTAAGCCTTTCTTGCTAGACTATAGATATATGACCTATATTTTGTTAGATCTTCATTAAAGACGCATTATGTAAGATTTAGCTATACAGCTTACAGTTCACTCACGCTATACTAGTTCGAAAATTGATAACGAAAAAACAATTCATGGAAAATGTCAGTCAAATTACTTAAATTCTGACCCAAGTATTGAATGTTTGAAGAATAGCGTAGTCTCGATCGATGTTCATTGATGCCGTTGTTATGATAATAAACAAAAAGACTCGATTAACCAATTTAAAATCAAATTATGAAATAGCGATCGAGTTTCAATCCATTCAAAATTGCCACCATCCGATGGTTTAAAGAGTAGATTATGGGCTTGTCATGTGAATAAATTAATGTCTAATCAATAATTTATATTTGAAACATAAAGAAAGGTTTGCAGTTTTTGTCTTTTAAGGCGAGCGATCGCTCTCAAGTGCATGTCGCTCACCTCAATGAGGGCTTAAGGGAGGTTCTACTCCCTCCCCTTAAAATTGAAATCATTTATGAAATCAGGAATGACCCCATTACATGCAGTTATTGATCTTCAGAACCATTTCTCATACACACAACAAATCACTTTCCTTAATATCAGATCACTCTCCTTAATTTCTAAGTCATTCTTGTTAACGAAACTGGCAGAGATTTTTTTAGGGGAGCGATATTTTTCAATTTGTTGATTAAGGGGAGCATTTTTCGGCTCTCCTCTAAAATACAAATAACAACAACTGACTGTTCCCTCCTCTAAAATACAAACAACAACGACTGACTGTTCCCTCCTCTAAAATACAAACAACAACGACTGACTGTTCCCTCCTCTAAAATACAAACAACAACGACTGACTGTTCCCTCCTCTAAAATACAAACAACAACGACTGACTGTTCCCTCCTCTAAAATACAAACAACAACGACTGGATCTGAAATAGACAGATTTAGCTCTTACATAATCGATCTTTAATGTAGACACGCTTGTAGTAGATTCTTGTGTTGCTTCCTGTCAAAAATAATATTGCGAAATATCGCAATTCTTATAACAGTACAATAACAACCTCAATTGAAATACTACTAATTGCTTCGCTGCACAAATTCTTATAACAGTACAATAACAACCTCAATTGAAATACTACTAATTGCTTCGCTGCACAAATTCTTATAACAGTACAATAACAACCTCAATTGAAATACTACTAATTGCTTCGCTGCACAAATAAATCCTTTAACTACTCGTATACAATGTCAATATATGCCCCACCCAGCCAGGGTGTATTTATAACATCGTATCCGGCTTTACTGAATTTACATTAAAATACAGGTTGTAGTGAGAAGGTTTAGTATTGTGACACCATCGAAAGACCAACACAGTATTGAGTCATCGAACCAATACACGGTAAGACAATTTTAATGATACAGTTAAACCTCTATGTGTACAGGTCACAATCCTATGGAATACAATTACTGCTTACTACTGGGAGAGGTTTCGACCAGGCTTCTCTAGTCATTATCAAGCAATGATAAAATATGAATATATGACAAGCCTGGTCGAAACGTCGCTCAGTAATAAGCAGTAATTGTATTCCATTTAATTGTGACCTGTATATTCCAGTTCAATTGCTAAATGTCATTGAAGCAATATACCCCTATGACCTAGATCAGATCAAATAATTGACGTTTCCACATATCGCATCGTATTCGACTTCACTACTTAAATGTACGACTGTTTACCTTTGACGTGGGGGTTTGGGATGGCCTAGTGGTCTAGAGAGTCACGCTTCGACCTCTAGCTGGCCGGTCACCTCTGGCTTGCGATTGTGGTTTCGATCCATTGTGTGAGCGTAAGCGGCTTGGAGATAGGGCCGCCTGCTAAACCTCGTGGGTTCACTCCGGGTACTCCAGTTTCCTCCCACAGGAAAGACCCCTGCGCGTGCGCTAAGATAATGAAAATAAGACAAATTGTCTGCGATATCACCTTCGGTGGAAGTGGACGTTAAACACTAAGTACAACAACATACATTTGACGTGATTATTTTGATCCCGTTAGTGGTAGATCCGGCTATTCAAATTGCTTATCTGAAATAATATTGCACAATAAGGCAATTCTTGGGGAAAGTGTCTACTATTCCCAACCCAAGGTGTATTTATAACACACCCGCATTGCATTACCGAATTTACACATAAACATTGTAGTGAGGACGTTTAGTAAATAGATCAGCTGAACCATTGAGCGATTCGAGTAAATCACACGGTAAGGTAAGACAATCTTGATAATACAGGTAATATAGGTAGATCGCTGTGATCTAGGTCAAGTTAAATAATTGACGACCTTTTCAACTTTCAACTTTTTATATTTGCATATTACGCCCATTATGAACAGTATACAAAACATACTTATACGTCAATATACATGACATGTATACATGGAATAACATGATATAATGAAATGAAAATATAATGAGATATATACATGCACCATTGGGATGATACAATGAAAATATAGACTTGTATGGTGGCCCATGGTCGCAATAGCGTTTTTGGGGTTATTTTTTGTATTTCATTTAAAATCATAAAAAATAAAAGTAAAAAAAAAGAAACATTTTTTTTTTCTTTTGTTTTACAAAATAAAAAAAAAATCTTTTTAAAATTTAAGAAAAAAAAAATCTTTTTGAATTAAAAAGAAAAAAAAATCTTTTTAAATTAAAAAGAAAAAAAAATCTTTTTAAATTAAAAAGAAAAAAAAATCTTTTTAAAATTTAAGGAAAAAAAAAATCTTTTTAAAATAAAAAAAATCTATATAAAAAAAATTAATAAAATATTTAAGATTAAAAAAATCTATAAAAAAAATAACATTTTAATTAAAAAAAAAAAAAAAAAATAAGTGAAATAGAAAAAATCAAAAAAAGAATTCTGCACGTGGCCCAATTATGTTGACGTGAGATAACTACAGACTCGTTTCTTGTCGTTCGAGTTCTTCATAGATCCCACACATAATAATCGAGATACTACTGCAACAATGGGCCACAAAATGTTTCTGGTCGCTCTAGTCTAATGATAGCTGTATACTGGGTCTGGATACTCAAGACACTATTGCGACGATGGGCCACGTCGGGAATTATTTTTTATCTTTTCTTTTTAAATTTTTTATTTTTAATTTAATTTTTTTTTAAATATTATTTCTTTTTTATTTTTTTTAAAATATATTTATTTTTTTATATATATATAGATTTTTTTATATATATATAGATTTTTTTTTCATTTTAAAAAGATTTTTTTTTTTTAAATTTTAAAAAGATTTTTTTTTTTTAAATTTTTTAAAAAGATTTTTTTTTTTTAAATTTTAAAATTTTTTTTTTTATTTTGTAAAACAAAACAAAAAAAAATGTTTCTTTTTTTTTTACTAATATTTTCATTATTTTAAATGAAATACAAAAAAATAACCAAAAAAACGCTATTGCGACCATGGGCCACCATAGACTTGACTGGGTTTTGTATGTTGATATTATGTTCTCTAGTACAACGTAATGATAAAATTTATGAGTTCTATTTCTGACCGGTTGGCTGGCCGAATGATTATAAAAGCGTGCGCTTTAGATCATAAGTTCCGTCATTGAGTAAAGTCTCATGGTTTTGATTCCCCGCTTGTACGATTCAAGGAGCAGGGTTCGCCTTCCAGCCTCGTGAGTTTTCTTCGGGTTCTCCGGTTTCCTTCCACTGCAAAGACCCCTCTCTCCCTCTCTCAGGGGTGCTAGTTTATCCAGAGTGAACACATGCTTACATGACGAACACAAGGATGAACCAAACGCGACGTGTCAAGGGGATTGCCGCATGTAAGCACTTAGACAAAGTGATATTGCAAGAGAGGGTGAGAGAAATGGGGTTTAACGTCCACTCGACACAAACTAGGTTATTTCGGGACTAATGCTTAAATTTTATTTCAATAATTTGCTTGTGTGTAGGCGTCTTTGGTAGTGGGGGGAACCACGAGGTTGGATAGGCAACCCTACTCCTTGTCACGTACAACCGGGGAATTGAAACCACGCCAGTTGACCCAATGACAGACCTTATGATGTAACCAACTGGGCTAATGAAGATAGCTTTCATTTATCTATTATTATATGGTTAGGAAAGGACGAGGCCTACTCTATATTTTTTCTATTTTTCCGCCAAATCTTTTTGATATTTCTCAATAAAATATTTTTAATGTTTTAAATAATTCTATTTAAGGTACAATGTTTTTATCAGGCTGTGGGACGGAGAAGTGTATTTCGATTTATCTGATCGTGACAGGTAGTTTCGGAATTCTTGCTTCCCTGTTCTGCATTGTTGCAAGATTGTACAGAACTACCGGACTGAGTGATAGAAAAGAGTTACTGCGTTTTATTCCAACCATTTTGATTACTGTTACAACGTTGACGATGCTTATTACCGGTGAGTTTCTCGTGCGAAAAACCGTACGGTTTGCATTCGTGGGCCATTTGTAGCACAATACTAGATCTTTGTACGATTTGGAAAATATCTCTCTACGGTTAGGGTGAGGTTTACATATTACATGTCAAACGTACAAATTGAAACTGTAACAACGGTGAATTGTGAGTAAAACTATTCTGAAGGGTTAGGGTTAGAATTGTGGGTATAAACACGGAAAGATATTTTCCAGATCGTATACAAAGATCTAGTATCGTGCCAATTTGTAAGCGATTTCCGGTTACCTTAGTGCGCGAATAATATAGTCCATGATGCGCGCACACTAACCAATTTGCGGACGATTATTCAGTTTCGTCTCTATCATTCCAATATTCTACGTCATGCCACGTCACACGTAGAACTATAATGGGCGTGGCTATAACGATCGATCATGATGTGAGGTGACGCATACAACTATACTGGGCGTGACCTCACAGTTTGTGACATTCAGAATAATAATCATAATAATAATAATAATAAATAATAATCATAATTCTACTACTGCATCCTCATTAAATGTCTGTAAATTTAAATGATGACAAATTCAAAAGTATGTAGCGAAAATTGAAATAACGTCGAGTAAATTTAAAGCCTGTGCCATTACACGATGATCTATTTATTAGTTCTGTATGTATGTGGTCCAGTGGTCTCTATGGTGGATACTTTAGACCAGAAGGGCTGTCACTGGTTCAGTGTATGTAGGCCTATGTATGTGGTCAAGTGGTCTGCAGGATGTACACTTTAGACCAGAGTTTACAAATCATTCTTAGACTTAAGTTAAGAATGTACTCAACTTTCAATTACTGTTCATAAAAAAATATCTTTGATCCAGAAACACAAAACTTTGCACATAGTATCTTATTGATGTATTTGATACATTAAAACAACAAAAGTTTTATAAAGGGCTATATTTTAGCTAAAATAAGACAAACAATTTTGAGTAAACTCTTAACTTACAGATACATTATGGGAGATAAGATAAAGAGATGGCAGTTCTCGCTATAATAGTTAAAAACTAGATAGTGTGAAGGTAATTTGCTGAAAATTTCAGTCAAATTGATCCACTATGAGCCGAGAACGAAGCGGGTGAAATTTTCGCATAGTCTCGGTCATCATTACTAAAATCATTAATATAAACAGCATAGTCTCGATTATCCACTGTTTTGATTTAATTATCAATGGCCGTTAAGCGGCATATAGGAATCTAATCCAGCCAACATCGAAGGCTAGCCTTGACATCGAGAGTTTATTATGGTCTGGATAGGTTAATTAATGTCTAATTGATAATTTAGATAACATTTCAGGCCTAAAGAAAGACTTGTAATAAGCAGATTTTGCTCTTGCATAATGCATGTTTAAGTCTGAGAATGCTTTGTAAACTCGCGGCCTGGTTTCAATCCTAGGAGAACACAAGTTTGATTTTCGGCGCATGGAACATTTTAGCTAAAGTCAAGGAAGAATTGTGCCCCTTTCCTAAATAACGAAATAAGCCCCATTAACTGCTGGACGGTTTGATAATTTCTCTGTTTTGTTTTACAGGTTGTGTGTGGAAATATCAGATGTATGACGTAGCCAACATTTCTTATCTAGGTCGTAGTAAGCAAGCTTTCTGGATTCTAAACGGGATTTACTTTCTATCGGGAGTGGCCAGTTTTTGTTCTGACTTTTGTTGTCGCGAATCTTAGCTTTTTACCCTTTCACGCAACATTTCACCACTGTGTATCGCTACATTGTGTTTCGCTACATTTCATCATTGTGTATTGCCACATTGCATCATTGTGTATCGCTACATTTCATCATTGTGTATCGCTACATTCCATGAGTTCCAATTGCCCTGAGGCATTATGGAAGGTTAGATAAAGAGCTGGCAGGTTTCACTATAATAGTTAAAAACTAGATCATGTAATTAGCCCCTTACATTCAGATGCACGATCTGCGACAATATCAAAACTCACACAACTTTATCAAATTTCTCAAAATAAATTCTGAAGATGTTTTTTTCTGTAGTTTATAACTTCCTCGACATCTTCCAAAGATTTTAAAAATTCTGTATGAAAATGTATGAAATATAAATTTTCTGATTGTGGTTTGTACATATTGTGTATATAGTGTGTATATTGTTATTTAGCCATCTTATAATTGAATTGTTCTTCTACTTACTTTTCTTCTTTTTATTTATCTTTTTTGCATCTTTTCAATATTTATTTATGTTTGTTCTCCAATCTAGTTTGTTTGAATAAATAATGTTTAGAAAAAAAAAATAATGTAAAGGGGATATACTGAAAATTTCAGTCAGATTGTTCCACTCTGAACCGAGATATTAACGATTGAATTTTAGGCCTAGCCTCGATTGTCATTACTAAAGTCGGTACGATAAAAACATAGTCTCGATTATCTATTTTTGAATTGAATCATCAATGAGCGTTGAGCAGTAGATCGGATTTAAATCCGGTGAAAATCCGACACATAAGTGCCATCTGGAGTTGATTAAGGTCTTTTCATGTTAATAAATGTCTAATTAATAGTTTATATAACATTTCAGGCCTAAAGAAAGGCCTACAATGGTAGATTTAGCTCTTGCATAATGTATGTTTAAACTAAAGTATTTTAACGGTGCGGCCATTCCTATAGCTAAGAGTTCAAATCCGGAGAGTATTTTAGCTTTATCATGTTGCCCTTAAGAAATGGGATTTGACACACCTATACTGACAAGGCTTGTTGTCGTATTAATTAAACGAATTAATATTGCGTTATAACGAATTAATATTACGTTATAATGTATTAATATTTCGTTTAAATCTAAAAGTTAAGGCCAGCTCAATTTTTGTCAGGGTCGCTGAGATGTAATTAAGGTTTAGGGCAAGTGATTGTTGGCGAGATTGTAGATTAGGGTTAGGGTAAGCATTGGGGCTAGGTCCAGCCCTGTTTACATCTCGTGACCTATGACGAAAAATTGAGCTGGCCTTAACATTTAGCACTAACCATCAATATAAAGTGCGGCATAGTCGGTCGAATACTATCCCTGCTACACATTCTTTGTTTTGGCACGAATCATCCAGGTATGACTGGCGTGTATTATTCTGTTGCAGTCCTCCAATCCTGGACTTCACGCTGGTGCAATTATGGACTTAAGTATTTGGCTTTGGCACAGACTTTAATATGACGCCAATATCACTTCACTATGACATCAAATATGAAACTGGGGCAACACTGTTCTGCTAAATACGTTTTTATATTAAACAGGGTATAACGTTATGTCTAAATTTATCTGATATTTTTAGATTATCTTGGTAAGAGGACACTGGTAAAACACGCTTCATAAAAGGCTTCTGGTTATTGTGCATTAAAGGAAACTACCGGTAACAGACTTGATAGTTTTATCTGCTATCAACTTGTATTATTTGTATATAAATTATATTTTCAATATTATATTTACTTGTCTAACTTCGTTGGTTTACTCCGGGTCTTCCGGTTCCATCCCACTGCTAAAAACTCCTACATGCAAGCGAATTATTTAAATAAAATTACACCAAATGTTAGATCTGAGATGGTCTAGGTTTTGTTGAGTGGACGTTAAACACTATTTCTCTCCGGGAGGAAACCAGAGAAAAGCCACAAGGTTGGACAGATGATCCTCCTCCTGTTTATGTACAAGCTTGTGATTGAAAGCATGCCACTTGACTCAATGACAGACCCTATGATCTAAAGAGAGAGAGAGAGGGAGAGGTGGGGTTTAACGTCGACTCGACACAAACTAGGTCATTTCGGCAGACTAACACATGGTTCAACTTTATTTCAATAATTCGCTTGCGCGTAGGGGTCTTTAGCAGTGGGAGGAAACCGGAGGACCCAGATAAAAAACCCACGAGGTTGGACAGGCGACCCTACTCCGCCAGTTGACTCAATGACAGACCGTATGATACAGCGCGCGCGTGCTAACCATTCGGCCATCCAACACCCCCTGATCTAAAGAGCATTAGTTAAACCACTGTGATTGACAGGCACCGGTGACAACACTATACCATAAAAAACAAGCCAACAGTGAGGCTGATGTCCCCCGCCGAAATAGGAAAATAATTAGAGGACACATATAAATTTATCACAAATAAGCGGAACGGACAGACAGACAAACAGACAGACGGAGAGTTATTGTTTTCCAAAGTCTCGACCAATCAAATTGCGTATCGCTCTGCTTACCCTGAGCAGAAAATGCTCATTATCAAACTTAGTCAAGGTATTACTGTAATGAAACTATACACCAAGTTTCATCAATCTCACTTAATTAGAACTAAAGTTATCGTGTCCCAAAGCATCAACCAATCAAATTGCTTATCTCTGCTTACCCTAAGCGGAAAATGCTCATCTTCGAACTCCATCAAGGCATTGACCTAATTAACACATACACCAAGTTTGAACATTCTAGCTCAATTAGGAAGAGAGTTATCGTGCCCCAAAGTATCAACCAATCAAATTGCTTATCTCTGCTTACCCTAAGCGGAAAATGCTCATCTTCGAACTCCATCAAGGCATTGACCTAATAAACACATACACCAAGTTTGAACATTCTAGCTTAATTAAAAGTTATCGTGTCCCAAAGCATCAACCAATCAAATTGCTTATCTCTGCTTACCCTAAGCGGAAAATGCTCATCTTCGAACTCCATCAAGGCATTGACCTAATCAACACATACACCAAGTTTGAACATTCTAGCCCAATTAGGAAGAGAGTTATCGTGTCCCAAAGCATCAACCAATCAAATTGCTTATCTCTGCTTACCCTAAGCGGAAAATGCTCATCTTCGAACTCCATCAAGGCATTGACCTAATAAACACATACACCAAGTTTGAACATTCTAGCTCAATTAGGAAGAGAGTTATTGTGTCCCAAAAAGTGTGACGGACAGACAGACGGACAGACAGACAGACGGACGAACCCATTTTAATAGTCCCCTGCTTTCTTCGAAAGGCGGGGGACAACAACAAATATTAGGGTAGGTCGCCATGGTTACAAACAGTTTATTAAGTTAATAGAAAAATATCTTTCACAATAAAAAAAAAGTGTTAATTATCACAGGATTATAAATATATATATCTATATGTAATAATAAATATCACAGATCAGTCCACCTTTATCAAGAGAATAACAATTATATCACATCCAGTCTAGTACTTGGGTTCAAGGGTATAACAATTATATCACATCCAGTCTAGTACTTGGGTTCAAGGGTATAACAATTATATCACCTCCAGTCTAGTACTAGGGTTCAAGAGTATAAAAATTATATCATATCTAGTCTAGCACTAGAGTTTTAAGGGTGTAACAGGTATATCATATCTAGTCTAGCACTGTGGTTCAAGGCAATTATTCATGAAATCTTAAACTAAAATATTTTAAGAATGCTGCCTTGTATAGGCTAAAAGCTAAAATTTGCTGCCTTGCAATATCTTGTAAATCCAAGATAAACAAAATACCTAAAAAATTATCGCCTGATCGTTTACATAGGGGATTCTTATGGTGGCTGTTAGCGGCAATTCAAATTCTGTCGACTTGTCGCCTTCGACTTATTCACAACCCGACAAGTCGACAAAATACAATTATTTCGACTTGTCGTGCGGCGACTTGTCGCCTCGGAAGTCAAACTCGAGCTTGCGCATTTGCTGATTGGATAACTTGCATGCGCACAGATTAACTTCCGAGGCGACAAGTCGCCGCACGACAAGTCCAAATAATTGTATTTTGTCGACATGTCGGGTTGTGAATAAGTTGACGCGGCAAGTCGACAGAATTGACCCGACAAGTCGACGAAATGAAGGCGATGATCGTCAGGTTATTTTGTCACGTTGGTGGGTTGATTTCGTCGACTTGTCGCCTTCTTCATAAGGCGACGATTTAGATGACATTTGAATGGCCGCTAACAGCCACCATAGATTCTTGATTGTCAGACAGGAACGTTCCGAACTGACAGAATTACAATCGAGTGACACAGAATTCAGTCCTGTCATAGTTCTGTCAGTAACGACAACTGATGTGGTGTGAGTAGAATCGTGACATAATTAAACACAACGAATATGTTTCGGCTGCATGGTTGGTTGAGATATTTTCTCATACTGTTGGTGCAGGCGCTCTAGTCCCAAATCCCCCGTTTCACTCGATAGTCACAATTTGTTGGATTGAGAAAGAAAGATAGAGAGAGAGAAATGGGTTTAACGTCCACTTGACACAAACCAGGTCATTTCGGGACTAACATATGGTTTAATTTTATTTCAATAATTTGCTTGTGGTGGAGAGAGAGAGAGAGAGAAATGGGTTTAAGTCCACTTGACACAAACTAGGTCATTTCGAGACTAACATATGGTTTAATTTTATTTCAATAATTTGCATGCGTGTAGGGATCTTTAGCAGTGGGAGGAAACCGCAGGAGTCGGAGAAAACCCACGAGGTTGGACAGGCGACCCTACTCCTTGTCACGTACAACCGGGGAAAATGTTTGAAGAAATGTCAGATATGAAATGAAATGGGGTGTAACGTCATCCATTTCTGTACTGATGATGGGCTAAGTTATACAGTGCACTATGAGGTGGGGGGGGGGGAATCACGTGGCTAAGTGGGTAAGACACTGGCTCGCTAGCTTGGAGGTCGGATGTTCGATCCCAGCATTGGCCGAGAAAGTTCATTCAGATTTTCCGGAGAAAAGCCTGGAGGTTGGACAGGCGACCCTAGTCCTTGTCACGTACAACTGGGGATTCGAAACCACGCCAGTTGACTCTGACAGGCCTTTTTTTGATACAGCGCACATGCTAACCATTCGGCCATCCAACACCCACTGTTTGATTGAGAGAATTCAATTCCGGAACATTCAGTCGAGCATCCTCAACATTTTGAAGTGAAAGTGGTCCATCCATTACATTTTGTGTTCAATACCACTCAGTCTTACATCTTGTAGTCTAGTGGGTTCTGTAGTTAGGTCATGGACCTTATAATAATGTATTATAAGGTCCATGGTTAGGTGAACATAGATTTCAGTAGGAAACCATTTAAAGTATAATGGGAAGTAACTCTATAGAGTGGGCCTATATCTGGAGTCAGACAACTTCAGGTCCAAGTGTAGAAGCAGCCAAGTAAAAAGCATGACAAATCCAAATGGGAAGTAACACTGAGATTTAAGGTCCAAGGGTAAATGCAGCTACACAAAAACCAACACAAATACAAATGGGAAGTACCTCTAGTACAGAGTAGGCTTACATAAGGAGTCAGACAACTGAGTTTTAAGGTCCAAGGGCAAATGCAGCCACACAAAAAACACCACAAATACAAATAAATATGAGTGCCATCAAAATATAAACAGAAGTTAACAACCAGTAGGTAAAATAATATACAGTTGGATGACAATATGAGCTGCTTGATGCATCAGTCGAGTTAAATTTACCATGAAGTTTATACACCCAAACATTGCCTGGAATAAACAAAACTATTTTCATAGTAATTACATCCAGTGTTAAATATAGGGGCAGCCGCAGTCCAGTAGACAATGTATGTACTCAAAGACGAGACAGCTACAAGATATTAATAGGGTAAGACGCTGGCTCGCTAGCCTGGAGGTCAGGTGTTCGATCCCTGCATTGGCCAAGAAAGTTCATCCAGATTTTCTGGCGTGGTTCCCCCTTGTCAGTGATGCAGGACGGAGGGCCTGACAAGGACAGCAGCTGTCTAGTCGTTCGGATGGGACGAAAAACCAAGGTACCGTGTACACATTGGCGTGCATGTAAAAGATCCCTTGACAGTTGGAATTCGATATAAGAGTAGGCCATAGTGCCGCTGTCCGGGCAAAATTTCCCTCATAGCATACTGTATGGCATATGCCCGCCTTCATTAGCCCAGTTTAGAGCAGAAATCTTTCTATTTATATGATTACCAAGCCTAGTGTCCCCTTGTGAATGGTGAATAACGGAAGGAATGGCAAGGAAAATTCTATTCGAGAATAGATCTCTGTCCTAAATGGCCGCCATATCCAACTATTAGTATACCGTTTTGTAATGTGGTCCTATTCTGGTTCACATCTGTTATACACAAATAAGATTAATTAAACCTTTTCAATTTTATTAAAAGAAAGCAAACTATAAACTCAAAATTCTCGGAATATACTTGGTCTTTTAAACTAAAATCGTCGATTTAGGACATAAAATGTTGGCCAACTAGCTTAGTGTCTGTTTTCAAGCGGAGCTGGTTGTAGACAGAGTGTCGGGTTTAATATTGGAAAAACCTCTAGTTGGACGGACGCCCATGTATATTGATTGGTGCACAGATAAGGTCGTTGTAAGGGCAAAATGTCCCTAATAGTACACAGCACACCTTTGTTGTCAGCCCTACAGGTGACACCCGTGAGAAAAAGGCTTGAAAAATCCTGAAGGTCTTTCAGGCATCGGAGTTGAGAGAGAGAAATGGCATTTAAGTACTAACACATGGTTCAATTTTATTTTAATAATTAGCTTGCGTATATGGGTCTTTAGCAGTGGGAGGAAACCGGAGGACCCAGAAAAAACCCACAAGGTTGTCACATACAACCAGAGAATCGAAACCCCACCAGTGGCCTCAATGACAGACTGTATGATACAGCATAACCATTCGGCCACCCAACCCCCCTAGGTCTATTATGGAGTAGACATTAGAATGTTGTGCCAATACCCTTTCTTCCAGAAATATATAAACCTGTATCATCAATTTTCTCTGATTTTTAGAGGTTATTTCCCAGTTAAAACATTTTTAGAGGTTTACAACCGGGGAATCGAAATCCATGCCAGTTGACTCGATGACAGACCTCATGATACAACGTGCACTCGCTAACCATTCGACCATCCATCCCCCCTCTCAGGCACCAGAGGGATTACGTCTGACAATGCCTGTGACAGGTAACTTATTTCCAGGAGTTTAATACTTTGATTATTTTACCAGCATTCTGACGTGGTTTCCCCTTGTCAGTGATCCAGGATGCTGGACGAAGGGCATGACAAGGACAGCTGTCTAGTCGTTGGGATAGGATGAAAAAACGGGGTTCCGAGTATGTAAAAAAAATCCCTTGGCATGTGGGAATTCAATATAAGAGTAGGCCTTAGCACCACTGTCCGGGCAAAATGTCCCTCATAGCGTATGCCCGTCTTCATTAGCCCAGATCAGTGATTCTCAACCAGATCTTCCTAAGTGTGCCACGGAACTTTGAACGGCAAACTAAGAAAATGCGAAAAACCAGTGATCCCAATTGAGTGTTCACTGGTGTTCATAGCTGTGTTCTTTTTTATTTAGTTTGAGTCATTCTATGTTTCTCTGACTAGTCTCTTTCTACGGTTGTATTCAGTCTGGCTTACCATGTTTTTCTTTTGCAAAATTCAAATATTTTTCATATTTATTTAAGCAGGTGTGCCACTATTTATTTATGTGTTCCAAGTTGTGACGTTGGCAAAAAAAGGTTGAGAACCCCTTGCCCAGATGGAGCAGAACAGTAGGGCGTTAAACCCCATTTAATTTTTATCTTACCAGCAATAAACCAGGCCATCAGAAAGAAATCAATCAAATGTAGACTTAAACAGACTTTTCCACATGATGCTTCTTCTTCTTCTTCTTCGTCTCCAGAATGTTTTTTACCACGTGGTAAACAGAAACGCGTTATAATACGAAATAACGCAAAACTTCCTCCTACGATCAGATACATCGGAATAAAACGCTGAACAGGACAATCAGACAAATGTTGCACACCTAAAAGACATACAAATCAAATATTTTCATTACAGAGAGAGAGAGAGAGAGAGAGAGAGAGATGGGTTTAATGTCCACTCGACACACAGCAGGTCATTTTCGGGACTAACATATGGTTCAGTTCTATTTCAATAATTCACTTGGGGGAAGGGGTCTTCAGCAGTGGGAGGAAACCAGAGGTCCCGGAGAAAACCCACGAGGTTGGACAGGTGATCCTACTCCTTGTCAAGTACAAACGGGGAATCGAAACCGCGCCATTGACTCAATGACAGACCTTATGATACAGCGCGCACACGTTAACCATTCGGCCCTGTAACCCCACTTTCGTTACAAAACATTTGCCATACCATCTTCAATACACTGAATATTTGGAAACTGAAATTGGCAAAATTACTAAATAAAAAATTGTTCATACCATTTGCTGCTGACCTCAATGTTAATTTCATATATCTTTGGTCTATAATTTTTAGAACGCCTATAACATTTCCATGATCTTAAAGTCTGAATGTTATTTGAGGAATTTAGGAATCACTTGTAAACTTCAATATTGTGAAAGGTGGATTCAGCCCCCCCTCCCCTTCCCCCAAAGCAACTATAGAGATTGGTATTAATATAACAACAGCTAGTAATACTCACCAATAACAACCATAGAGATTGGTATTAATATAATAACAGCTAGTAATACTCACCGATAACAACCATAGAGACTGGTATTAATATAACAACAGCTAGTAATACTCACCGATAACAACCATAGAGATTGGTATTAATATAACAACAGCTAGTAATACTTACCAATAACAACCATAGAGATTTGTATTAATATAACAACAGCTAGTAATACTCACCAATAACAACCATAGAGATTGGTATTAATATAACAACAGCTAGTAATACTCACCAATAACAACCATAGAGACTGGTATTAATATAATAACAGCTAGTAATACTTACCAATAACAACCATAGACACTGGTATTAATATAACAACAGCTAGTAATACTCACCAATAACAACCATAGAGATTGGTATTAATATCATAACAGCCAGTAATACTGTTATGCACCCTGTAAATATAACATAATAGTTTGTTATCTATGAGAATAGATAGTTTGTTATCCTGAATAAGAAGTGGCATATAGTGTTCTATGTACAATTTAGCTCAGTAGGCCTACATTTATAACCATTATAAAACATATTACATGACTCATCTTAAGGAAATGAAATGGGGTTTAACGACCAGCATACAGTAACTAGTGTTCTATGAGATAAATTTGTCAGCACAGCAGCATTTCTGCCTATTATTTCCTTGAATTTCACCTGTCAATGGGTTCTTTTAAGTTCGCGCCAACGTGTACACATGACCTCGGTTTGTCGTCCCTAGATACTGTTCCTTGCCAGGCCCAAGGGGGGTTGGGTGGCCGAAAGTTTAACGTGTGCGCATTGTATCATAAGGTCTGTCACTGAGTCAACTGGCGTGGTTTCGATTGTATGTGACAAGGAGTAAGGTCGTCTGTCCAGCCTCGTGGGTTTTTCCAGGTCCTCCAGTTTCCTTCCACAGCTAAAGACCCCTATGTGCGAGCGAATTAATGAAATAAACTTGAACCATAATTGTCCATAATATGTTGGTCCTGAAAGGACCTAGTTTGTGTTGAGTGGATGTTAAACCCCATATCTCTCTCCTGCCACGAACCCCGGGGAAAACATGCGGTGAAATCTCAGGGGACTTCCTCAGTTAACACCAGGACTGAACCTGAGACATGGTTAGTGAGCCAGCACCCTACTCACTGACCCATCATGGCTGAGGATAATTTTCCCCGGGCAGCTGCACTATGACCGACTTTTATATCGAATTCCAACTGCCAAGGGATCTTTTAGTGCAAGCTAATGTATACACAAGACCTCTGTCCTTGTCGGGCCCTCCATCCTGTACCACTGATAAGGGGAAACAATGCTGGATTATTCTGACGAACAGTTAAAGAATTAAACAAACAATTTACTGATGCAGACAAGCAATCTATCTTCTCTTTATAAAATATATACTTACTTCTGATTGTAAAAATATCTAGAACTTTTCTTACAAAATCGACTCTACCATTTGACTCTTCTCTGGCTTGTTTTATTTTACCAAATAAAGTTTCATACGAAGGCGGAGGTTCTGTAATCAAAAACATTTGTATAAACTTGCTGACATTAAAAACAAAGAATAACCTCTAAAACATCATCTTAACGCAGAGAATAACCTCAGAAAATGTTTAAACTCGAAGAATAACCTCAGAAAATGGGAATAACCTCTAAAAATGTTTTAACCAGGAATGGTTAGCATGTGCATACGGTCTGTCATTTAGTCAACTGTCGTGGTTTCGATTCCCCGGTTGTACATGACAAGGAGTAGGGTTGCCTGTCCAACCTCGTGGGTTTTCTCTGAGTCCTCCTGTTTCCTCCCACTGTTAAAGACCCTTACGCGCAAGCAATTTATTGAAATAAAATTGAACCATGTGTTAGTCCCGAAATGACCTAGTTTCTGTCGAGTGGACATTTAACTCCATGTCTCGCTCTGGCCTAACTACATAGATAAAAAACAATACAACCAAGTGAATAGTCTAGTGGACTTTTTGTAGAACTTGTTGATTCATGTAGGCCATGTTGGTGGGAAATCCATTCCATTCTGTTCTGGCCAGATCTTACATGAGGTCCCACCAATAAACAATATTTATATGTGTGTGTTGGTAGGTGTGTGGAACATACTAGAAACGATTTGTAGCATATCTGACCCAAGTTATATCTATGACACTGGTTAAGCATTGTGATATGATTATAATGTTGAAAACCGCATTGAAACCGTATGATTTTTTGCCATTTGCGTGGGGGCAAAAAAGCTCAAGGGGATGCAAAAAAAGCTCAAATCCATGACACAAAGCTTGTGATTGCATCCCTCTACTTAGCCCCTTAAAACTACCAGGTGAATATACCTGTGGAAGTTTGTAAAACTTGTTGATACGTTGGTGGTAGTGGAAAATCGTCCTCGCTCTTCGGATCACCGCATAGTGGTCCACTGACATCATCATCGTTCTTTGGTGGTCCATTGATATCATTTTGTAAAACTTGTTGATAAGTTGGTGGTAAATCGACATTGCTGACATCACACTGTTCATGTTGGGTTTCCATTACAGATATGTAATGTCAGCAGGTCTTTTCATTTTTGTGAACCAAATTGGATATGGCGTCACCAGTAATACTCTATTATGAAGCGATAACAGTGCATTTGCTGAGAAATCTTGGATTGTTCCTTTAAAAGAAATGAAATGGGGTTTAACATACTACATTTCTGCATGACTGGGCTAATGAGAAAAGAGAGAGAGAAATGGGGTTTAACGTCCACTCTACATAAACTAGATCAATTCCAGACTAACATATGATTAAATTTTATTTCAATAATTTGTTAGGACTTAAATGTCTTTAGCAGTGGGAGGAAACCGGACATTGGACAGGCGACCCTATTTCTTGTCACGTACAAGCAAGGAATTAAAACAACGGCACTTGACTCAATGAATGACAGACCTTCTGATACATCGCACATGTGTTAACCATTCGGCCACCCACCCCACCTCAATTAGTATATAAAAAGTGTTGATTTACAAAATAAAAAATATGTAGCTAATACATCGCACATGTGTTAACCATTCGGCCACCCACCCAGGGCTGTCGGTAATTTTTCACAGTTGATTAGCAGCACTGCTAATCAAAAAGTCCAATTTCGCCAAATTTGATTAGCAAATTTAAAAATTGATTAGCAGTTTTTCAGTTTCACCATAAAACACCTAAATAACAAGAAATTACTTTAATTCATAACAAATATGATGATTAGATTTCATTCTTAGATTTTTTTTAGCACTGCCACATGTAGTTGTGACAGTTTGTGAATGTGAATGTCTGAAGCCAAATCTTGGGAGTGACTTCCGAAGCCCTACTCATTTTAATTGTTATTTCTTTGTTACGTTAGAAATCTTCTTTAGAAAACAATTTCGTCAGCTTTTTATCGTGTATTACTATTTTGGTTCAATCGCGCGCACCTTTATTATTATTAACTAGACACACGCGATATGAACAATAATATTTTACGGGAATTCTTACTTTGATTTATCATGTTACAATACGTTAAGATGTATTTATTTTTATAAATTTTATTTACAATACGCGGGCATACACTGGATTTATTTCTTTCAAAATGTTTTCTGATATAATTACTTGAAATTGACATGTCCCGCAACGTGAGTGGTACAACTTGATTCCCTATTTCCGGTTAAATAGTCGCTATTCATAGAGTTATGTCCTTTTATTATATACATGTAGTATAATGAATTGTGTCTGGGTAGTTCGAGAAGAAAATGTCACACGGAGAATTCAGTTTTGTTTATAAAATTTTATTCGGCATTTTATACACGTTGAAAGTGGATTATCCTTGTGTCAATATCCAAAATGACAGGCATATTAATGATTCGCAGTTACTGCGAATCAAAAACGTTAGATTTTAATTTTTGATTAGCAACGGACAAAATATGTATCGCAAATTGCGCTGCGATACTGGTTGTCGGCAGCCCTGCACCAACCCCACCTCAATTAGTATATAAAAAGTGTTGATTTACAAAATAAAAAATATGTAGCTGAGCAGGGGGGCACCCCCCCCCCCCCCATCTGGATCCATCCCCTCCGAAAGACTTGACACTGAGAAGGGGAAACAATGCCAGAAAACCAAGAGAAAATTTTTCGGCTAACACTAGGCACAAAAATCTTACCATTGCAGCGTCTTACCTATTGAGCCCCCACAGCCCCCTTCTTTACATCAATATCATGTCTTCCCCGGTTGTATCGTATGTGACAATTAAGGAGTAGGGTCGCCTGTCCAACCTTGTGGGTTTTCTCTGGGTCCTCTGGTTTCCTCCGATTGCTAATAAAGACCCATACGTGCGCGCAAGCGAATTATTGAAATAAAATTGACCTAGTTTGTGTCCAGTTAAACCCCATTTCTATCTCTCTCTCTCACTCAATATCATGTCACAATTAATATGTGCTTATGACTCATGACTATATTTATTATGTGACAATGTCAAATACAAAATACTAACATTAGTGTATAAATGTCGCAATAATGCAGCTCCTCAATACTTATCTGAACTCTTATATGACTACAACCCTATTAGATCACTTCGCTCTCAAAATAAACAGTCACTAGTTGTTCCAAGATATAATTTGAAGTCATATGGGTATAGGTCTTTCAGTTCAGCTGGTCCTAGATTATGGAACGAACTTCCACAACAGATCAAGAATCAACAAACTTTTAATCAATTTAAATCCGCACTAAAGACTTTCCTGTTTCAACAGTTTTACCAGTAGAGCCATTACAAAAAGCGTTTTGAGCATGTGTCAACATGGAGAAGACGCTATATAAAACTTCATTATTATTATTATTATGCCAGTTATGAATTATAAATTCTGTGAATGTCAGCTTAATCCTTGTGGTTACCTTGATCTTGTAGTTGTAGACACTAATATTTATACTGCTGACTAACAAAACTCATTTAACTGGTTTAATTCTATCATCTGTAGATCTTCTAAAAGAAAATCGCTCAAATTCCTGCTATTTTCAGGGGGTATAATTTTCTGAATGTTTACAGAGGGCGCTGCTTAACTTCTTCGATAAACATAGACTTGAACTACCAGTTAGACAACATTGCGGCAATAGATTTTCATGAACAATTTAAGAATCTCACATCCAAAATTTGTTTTTCTCAAATCTACCTCATTTTATTTAACTTGCAGTGGAAGAAATTTAGTGGCCGGCAGATTATCGCATTTACTGGCCGTTAATGTTTAATTTCGTTTCGGAATATGTATATGCTGCAGATGCTTGACGCAACCAGCGGGAAACGATGGACGATCGAAGTATTCCTCCCTGCGGGAAAGTTCTTTTTATTGAAGAAATACATGAAATAATTTCTATGGCTAATAGTTCTGTAGATGGGAAATCCGTCAGGGTTACTGGAAGGTATAAATATAGTAGTTCTATAAATATACTAACATAGCAATTAACACAGAAGCAGTGCCGTAACTAGCTCAGAGCAACGCTGTGGGGGGGGGGGGGGGTAGGAGTAGGAAGTGTTCTCTGCCTGGGGTGCTGTAAAATTGACGGACAATCACAATGATAAGGCCAAGTCACTGGGTAAGACCCTGGCTGACTAGTCTGGAGGTCGCGTATTCGATCTCTACATTAACATTCATTGGCCGAGAAAGTTCATCTTAATATCAGTGTTGCAGGAAAGAGGGTCTGACAAGGACAACTGTCCAGTCGTTTGGATTTTACGAAAAACCCAAGGTCCCCTGTATACATTGGCATGCATGTAAAAGATCCCTTGGCTGTTGGATTTCGATATAAGATTAGTAGGCCATAGTGTCACTGCCTGGGCAAAATTTACCTCATTAGCCCAGTTGGAGCAGAACAGTAGGACGTTAAACCCCATTTCATTTCCCGGGGGTCACAGTGCCTCTGACTAAGTGAGTAAGACGCTGGCTGACTAATTTTCTGCACCGACTAGGCTAATGAAGACAGGCATACACCATACAGTGTGCTATGGGGGAAGTTTTGCCCAGTCTGTGACACTAGGCCCTACCCTTATATCTAATTTAAACTGTTATTGGTTCTTTTATGTGCGTCAACAGACGTGGAAACCAACAAGATCGAACAAGAATGGTGAGTGGTAAAGTCAATACTGCCACTGGCTTCATCAGTAGACTTGGGAGCCATGGAGTCTCAGTGAGAAAGGCGATGGATGGTTGATCAGGAATCGTAAGATTTATCTAGTGAGGTTTCCCACAGTAACAGTGTCGGTGGTGCTGCATGGAGGGCCTGGAATGGAATCAGGGCCGTAACTAGCTCAGAGCGACGAGGCGGGGACGGAAAGTTTTCTCATGGGTGCTGTAAAATTGATGGACAATGTATATCTAAGGTCGACAGTTTTTTCACGGGTTGAGCCCCGGGGGTGTTTGCAATGTTTTGCATGGGGGGGAGGGGCCAAGTTACGGGTCTGGATGGAACAGTGTCTAGTTGTTTGGGTGGTACAAAAAATGTGTAGCACACTGTATGGAATATGCCCATCTTTATTAGCAGTGGTAGTTACCAGTAAATTAATCTGTTAAAGTTGCATTTTCGTATTTTTAAGTTATATTTTTAAAATTTATTAAAATAAAGCCTTAAAATAGATGATATCTATAAACAGTCCTACCTTGTTAAAGAATAATCCTATTAATCCTATAATTCATTATTGCCATTTGAGAAATTGGCAAAAATATCATTTTCAATTTTAAATTCAAACGTTTGAAGATAGCTATTCCATGGGGGGAAATAGAAAAACAAGGGAGGTAATTGTGTTATTATTTCCGGGGTCAAAGGATTTTTAAGTGGGAGAATAATACCTATGATTGTTAATAGTGAGTTGACAACCTATTGAGCAAAAGACATAGAAATAATTATGTTTTGACTTTCTTAGAAAATATGAAATTATCGCTTTAATTACTGAACACTGCTAAAGAAAGTTGTGAATCCGACACTCCTCATCTAATCTAGACAGACCAGTTTAAACTACAAGATAGTACAAACTGAATTGTTTTTTGTGAATTTGAACAATTTGCCAATAATGGGTTGAAACAAAACCTTAAATACATGTACAGAAATTCTTGCTAAACTTCTGTTGTAGTGTAAAGACTCCCTAAGCACAAGCAAATTATTGAAATAAAATTGAACCAAATGTTAGTCCCAAAATGACCTAGTGGACATTAAACTCCATTTCTCTCTGTATATCATTTATTGCAATTTGATTAAAATACAAAAATGAAATGAAATGGGTTTAACTTAACGTCCTACTGTTCTGCTCCTATACTGGGCTAATGAAGACGGGCATACGCCATACAGTGTACTATGAGGGAAATTTTGCCCGGGCAGCGGCACTATCGCCTACTCTTATATCGAATTCCAACTGCCAAAGGATCTTTTACTAGCATTCCAATGTATACACGGGCCTTCGAAGGAATAGACAGCTGTCCTTGTCAGGCCCTCCTGATCTATATTTCATTTCATTTTTTTATACTTTCGAAGGGCTCCACTGAAGATCAGGCCGGTTGTAGTGGGAGGTCATACGAGCGGCTTTTACGTTTCTAGTGATTTACTGACAGTTCTGTGCACAGCACTCCAACAACTCGCCATAACAGACCGTTTCAGCAGGGCTTGCCACGAGACGCGAGTAATGTGAGTGATTAAGTACTCGCGCAAATATAAAAAATAATTTAATCAGAAATAATTGAATATCGTAATATAAAAAGCCGTAAACAATTTGTATGCCTTCATATCGATGCACTATTGCGCACGCGGCGTCTCTTTCCAGTGCCAACTGTTGTTACTAAAAATACTTTGAGACGCGTACTGCCAGGCGGTTTTTAAGCCGATGTCCTTTGCCGTGTCTGGATAATCAAACATTGAGCGGATGTTGTCGTTTCTATTAATAGCAATTCTTTCGATCCCGCATCTTTTCTACAAGTTGATGGGATTGAAATTGTTTTGCCTGTTCTTTTACCTTTCTAAGCTTTACCTGAATCCCCTCAGCACGCCAACGATGGCAAAGGGAAACCCAGTTTTCCTTGCAACGTTATTGTCATGGGAAGACGATTTACAGATAATATTACTGCCAAGGAAATAAAAGAGTATGCATTGCCTTTGTGTGTGAAATAGCTTTATTCAACGTCCGCTTCCACCGAAGTGACAAGAGCATTGCCATTAGGCACATGAAATTTAAATGGCTACTCACGCACATCATTCTGCGTGAGTAAATACATGTACTCGCCTCACTCGCGCAAGTCTATATTTGCGTGAGTAGTCATCTACTCGCCTCCAATTTGCTTGTGGCAAGCCCTGTTTCAGTGGCTAATTTTGAACTATTAAAAACAAAACGAAACGAAATAGGATCTGGGTTTTAATCAGATTGACAGTTATTGACTAATTAAAAACATGACTTGAATAATTTTTACATTTCAGACTCGAAAGACACAACATTGAGTCGAGTACAGCTGTTTTAGTTGATCCAAGATCCAATAAAAGCTTGTTAATAGACACTCGACTCATTGAACCCTTTCCAGAAAAACTGGGTAGTCTGTTTCAGTTTATAGGGGAGCTAGAAGGTGTTGACAGGAGTCTGGATGTCACTTTACGAGCTCGAGTTGTTCGATGTGTGGACGGCTTGGATCTATCTCTATATAATCAAGCTATCCAAGCTCAGAGACGATTTCTTAAACAAGATATCAAATTATAACAAGTGACTGAACTTATTCTAAATCAAGTATTTAGAAATTTGGAATACCACAGCGTTTTGTGAAAAACTTACCATAATGACTGGCACTCAACGTGTTCTAAATGTTAAGACAGACACTCAAAGGAATTTGTGGAAAGCTTGACGAGTGGGAGACCAATGCTAACTGGCACTTAACTTATTCGGAATAGCCTAGAGCTTGTTGTGGAATAGTTGGAGAAAGGACAATTTTATGAAATCAGAATTAAGGGCAATTTTGTGTAGAGGCTGTTCTTATAACTGTCTCCATTTTTTTTTGTTTTTTTGTTTTTAGTTGTTTTTCCTCTAGTCCCTGTTATTTTAGGTAATTTCGTTATCTTTAGTTTGGGGAAAATAATTTTTGGGGTAGGCTGTTCTTACTGGTCTGTTCTGATTTTCCCTGTTATTTTTTTTTATTTCTCCTTTTCTTTCTCTTTGAGCTTTGTCTGTCCTCTTTCTTGCTGTGTCTCCCTTTCTTTTTCTCTTTGAGCTTTGTCATCGTTTCTCCTGCCCCCCCCCCTTTTTCTGCTATTGTTTTTTTATTACATAATTGGGGTACATGTATGTGTTGTAAACGGGTCCTGGTTTCCCTACTGCTGACAATGGACATGGTGGTTTATAAGGTTTACTGATTTAGGAAATTTAGAGCACAGATTCTCCTGCTCTTTCCTTTTCCCTTAGACTTTTGTCTGACCTCTTTTTTGGTGTCTCCTACTCTTGTCTTTTCTCTTGGTCTGTCCTCTTTGTTTGATTCACACTTTTTACCCTTTCTCCTGTCGCTATTGTACTGCTGTTTTATTCCATAGGGGTGGGGGGGGGTCTCTTTTTTTTTCTTTTTTTTTTTTACAAAATTGGGGTGTGTGTTGTAAACGGGTTCAGGTTTCCCTACTGCTTAAAATGGACTGGGGCGTTTATAATGTTCATTGATTTAGGAACTTTAGGGCATGGATTATACATATGTTTTTATATGAAAGCCTTGTGCGTGGTATGATCACATTTTCATCTTATTTGAATGTTATGCCACTGGGAATTCAGAGTAAATTATAGCTGCATCAGTGAGTGGGTAGTTACATGTAATTATATCTTTTAGTGCTTGCCTGTATATATGTTATAATTGTATGTGGATTTATAGTAAATTGTGCAATGCCTACGTTAAGTTATTATTGTCTCTGTCGGTTGTTGATTTCTTGTAACATGTGAAATCACAGTGTAACTTGTATCGTTCTACCTTTGAAAATAAAGTTTATATTATTACATTGTGTTGGTAGTGGTGTAACGCAAAACAATATGATATTACACCCCTTTTCATCTTGTTTTATGAATAGGCCTACCTCCAAAGTGCAATATGCCTGCACAAGCCTTTTATAATATCAAAGAATGGCCATTTTGCCTTTTATATTTTAACAAAAACAGGCACTTTGTTAGATTCAACGTGACCGTAGTGAAATATGAACTAGTTTTTTGGTCTTTCAAACAGTATGGGCATGGCCCAATTCAAATTGTAGGGGGTTAGTTTCTTGAATGGAGTTGTCTCCCCTATACCACTATCTGATATGATCCGTCATTGGGAGGATTTTGAATCCCTCGCAAACAAATCTGTTGCCAGGCCTGGATTTAATGGTGTGGGACAGACCTCGCGATTCTGTTCGATTTCCGTACCTCCCAGCAATGACCTCAAATGCCAGGAAATTAATTCAAATTTTCAAAATGTCAACTTGCATCAAATTGCTTTCCCGCGAGATGACGATTGACGAAGAGCTGTATAGGCAATACGATCTTTGACATTCATTGTGGGGTGGCCCTAGATTTGGAATGTCTGTGACAGGCACCTTATTTCCAGGAGTTTAATACTTTGATTATTTTACCAGTATTCCGGGGTGGTTCCACCTTGTCAGTGATCCAGGATGCTGGACGGAGGGCATGACAAGGACAGCTGTCTAGTCGTTGGGATAGGACGAGAAACGAGGTCCTGGGTACACTTTGGTGCGCACGTAAAAGATCCCTTGCCAGTTGGAATTCCATACAAGAGTAGGCGATAGTGCCTCATAGCACACTTTATGGTGTATGCCTGTCTTCATTATCCCAGTCGGAGCAGAACAGTAGGACGTTAAACCCCATTTTATTTCATTTCATTCCAGACGAAAGATGATCTGCCGTTAATATTTTAATTTTGTCTTCTTAATTATATTTTAAATAATGAAGTTAAGTGTGGATTATGCCGTAAAAAATTAAGATATTGTCCGAAAATTGAAACACGGTCAGCGACATTATAGCTCACAATCTGTCATATATGTTTTAAACACGCACGTGTTGTAGGGTTTGGTATAGCTAGCAGACCAGCCGCAAGAAACTGGGTGTAAATTTTGTACGTGTATGTGCAGTCCTAGTTCAGCTCTGAACGTAGGTCTCATAGTATGAGAGCCTACAATTAATATTAATTTAGGATATCATCCATTTTAAATTTCAAATAACCATCATCATGGATCACACTATAGGTAAGTACCGACTACCATATTTCAGATAGAACATCAAGATTTTTGGCTGTTTATGAGACCTACGTTCAGAGCTGAACTAGTGCAGTACCAAAAGTCTCTACGGCCAATCTGCGATCTTCTATGGTGCCGAACACACGCAAGTGCCGCGTATAGACTGCCCGTAGAAGCACGTCCGGTGGGTCGTAAGCTAGGCTTAAGATTTCCGAATAAGTGAAAGGAAGTGTGCATCGTGCCCAGGTAAAAAGATAAAGAATCCAATACATTTGGGGTCTAACCAGCAGCGGATCTAGAAGCTGTGAATGGAGGGGAAGGATGGGGGGGGGGGGGTCAAATCTAAGGCGCATCAACAATCCCATCCCACAATGAATGTCAACAAAATGGGTAATAAAATGCATCAAATACCACTGAGGGCCCCGGTAGGACATAGATCGTATTGTAGGCCAATATAAAGTTGTCCCGGTTAGTGCTAGCTCAATTTTTCGTCATAGGTCAGGAGATGTAAACAGGGCTAACCCTAACCCTAACCGTGGACCTAGCCTCAATGCTTACCCTAACCTATAATCTCGCCAACAATTACGTGCCCTAACCTTATTTACATCTCAACGAACTTGACAAAAATTGAGCTGGCCTTAACAAATAGATTTAGCCTACTTGTCCTGCATCACTTGCAAGGGGAAACCACACCGGAAAAAAAACCGAGGAACTTTCTCGACCAACACCGGGAGCGAACCAGATTCTTGCTCACTGAATCACCGCGGCCACCTCCAATAAATTAAGCATCAATTGAAGCAAAATTCATTTAAAAATCAAATTTCACATCTCAAGCCAAATGAAAAGAAAAAGTAATTTTTCTATTTTCAATATTTTTTTTCTCCCATATAGCTGTCGAATGAGACGAAAAACAGACACCCCACGCCCAATGCTATATCGACTAATTATCCATCTCCTGAGATAAAACAGAGTTTAATTAATACGAGATTTATACCAGACTATGTAACGGGTTGTTTTCACACGGAATTGGATCTGAAATATTAATATTATTTTTGTCTTACGTTCTCGTTTAAAATACATTACCTTTGATCCTTGCACGGAAACCTGCCATATCAATAAAATTAATTATTAATTAGAATGCCAGTGTCCATGATGAGTGTAAAATTACATTCATAATAAATTTTATTCTTTTGAGAACCCAATTATTTGTTATTATTTCATACCCCATTACAAAAATAAGTTTATTGATGAATTGAAGTTTCACAGATCATTCGCAGGGCTTATTATCGACACTGGATAATCAAAATACAGCATTTAAAATAGTAGGCCTGTCAATTGTTTGTCATGGCCTTTCGGAAAACTGGGGGTGGGGGGTGGGGGGTGGCCGAATGGTTAACGCGTTGCATGTCATTGAGTCAACTGGCGTGGTTTTGATCCCCGGCTGTACGTGACAAGGAGTAGGGTCGCCTATCCAGCGCCGTGGGTTTTCTCCGGGTCCCCCGGTTTCTTCCCACTGCCAAAGACCACTACGCGCAAGGGAATTATTGAAATAAAATTGAACCATATGTTAGTCCCAGTTCGGAGCAGAACAGTAGGAAGTTAAACCCCATTTCATTTCTTTTGCTGAATGAAACACCATGATGGTATGAATTGCCTAACTGTACGCCGTTTGTATATTGTGCAACTGTATCACTGTGTTACGAGTTAAAACCCTCCACCTGCCGAACTATGTCGTAAAGAGAAATTGTTTGTCGAGAGAAGAGAAAGATAGAGCGTGAGTGATTTTAACAACTGTAAATTATGTTGTCGAGATTCAACAATTCGCTTTCTTTAAAGAGACACCGAACCGTACTTTTTCTACAAGTCACGGAGAATCGACACCACGCCAATTCACCCAATAACAGACCTTTTAATACAACGCACAAGCGCTAACCATTCGGTCATTACGCCCCCCCCCCCCCTCACCTCCCATCTTCAAAGAAATGTGGGCCTATGCCCATTGTATTTGGGACCCATATTCCGAGCCCTATATTTATTGTAGAGACCCCCTTTGGTGTACAAGTGACACAAAGTTATACGCTGGCACGCTGTGTGGCAAATTAAACCCAACGGGCCCCCAGACAAGTGGGCCCTAGGTCAATGACCTACTGTGCCTGTTGATAAATCCGAGCATGACCCATATTCTCGAAGCAACGACTGAGGGATTTACAACATCTTGATAAGATGTACGGAGTTAAAGTAAGATCAAGCCTTTTTTCCGGCGTGGTTTCTCTTTGTCAGAGATGCAAGACAGTTGTCTAGTCGTTCGGATGGGACAAAAATCCGAGGTTTCGTGTATACATTGGTATGGCAAACGGTATAGTTGTTGTTATGGTACGTAAAACCGAGGTGAGCACATTAACGATCTCCCGACAGTTGGAAATTGAAAGACTAGTAAGCCGTTATAGTTCCTAGCCGCAGTGGCTCCGTGAATAAGACGCTGGTTCGCTCGTCTGGAGGTCTCGGGTTCCTTCCCGGTGTGGGTCGAGAATGTTCTTCGGGATTTTTCGGTGTGGTTTCCCCTTGTCAGTAGTGCAGGGCGAAAGGGGTTGACAAAGATGGGATGGAACACACATCCGAGGTCGCGTGTACACATTGGCTTGCACGCATAGGCGTAGGAGCTGGGGGGGGGGGGCGGCCGCACTCCCATTTTGGGCACCAAATGCTGGGAAAATTTGGGCACACAGTTGTATAAAAAAATATTGTGTTCTTGAATGTGTCCAATTTAACAGCAAATTTATTATTATTATGTAACATACTTATTTTGGGCACCAACCACCACCGCCCCCCCCCCAGTCAAAAATTTCCCCGTACGCCTATGCTTGCACGTAAAAGAGGTAGAATATGAGCATGCAGTAGTGCCGCTGTCTAGGGGCAGTTTCCCTGATAGCACACTGTATGACGTATACCAGTCGTCTTTATTCCCAGTCGGTGTCAAACAGTAGGACGCTAAACCCCATTTCATTTCACTTTCGGTTAGTGTAGAAATTATTTTCGTTCGGGTGGGAGGAAAAACTGAGGTCTCGTGTATACATATTGACGTGCACGTAAAAGATCCCTTGGCAGTTGGAATTCGATATAAGAGTAGGTCAGGCAAAATTACCCTCAAAGCACACTGTATGGCGTAAGCCTGTCTTCATTAGCCTAGTTCGGAGCACAACAGTAGGACGTTAAACTCCATTTCATTTCAGGAGGGTGGATGGCCGAATGGTTAGCACGTGCGTGCTGTATCATAAAGTCTGCCATTGAGTCAACTGGCGTGGTGTCGAATCCCCGGTTATACGTGACAAGGAGTAGGGTCGCCTGTCCAACCTCGTGGGTTTTCTCCGGGTCCTCCGGTTCCCCCCCCCCACTGCTAAAGACCCCTACGCGCAAGCGAATTATTTAAATAAAAAAAATAAACCGTATGTTAGTCCCAAAATGACCTAGTTTATTTTCAGTGGACGTTAAACCCCAACCCTCTCTCTCCTCTCTCTCTCTCTCTCTCTCTCTCTCTCTCTCCCCATTTCATTTCTGTTTGATGTTGAGAAAATATGAACAGCATGTCTCTTTAAGGAGTTGATGTTTGTTCCACTTGTGTTGGTGTTTGATCTGGTAAAACAATCAACATTGTTTAACCTGTCTGTACAATAAAACAAGGGGATGCTGGTTGATATCTTAACCAATAGACCTACCAGAATATACACAACTCACACCAGTTACAACAGGAAGATATATCACATTAGATGTTA